CAAAAATAAAACATTAACAAGCAATTGCACACTACGTTTGGTTTGTAATGGCATGTTGGAAAAGGAAAAGTCTTGAGTAGGCATTAAGAAATAAACAAATCACATAGCCTATCCCCTTGTTGCGGGAGCACATACACTTATGTTATTCCTGTAAGTTTCCTGAGGGCTACTATTGGTGTAAGGTCACAGCCTCTGAATGAGCCATCACGGTGCCTAGAGGCTGAAGGCTATTAACATCAGGCCATTAATTGCCATCCTGCCCACCACTGCTGTATGAACAAATTACTTCGTCCTCTCTGCAACAGACTATTTATGCATCCCCTTGCTCCCCACAGCTCCAATACACACACACACCTCACCTCACTCTTCTACTCATCATTAAACCAAACAGCACCTGGAGGCTCAGCCTGGTGGAGGGTGGCCCTCTGGGAGGCCAGGACATTCAGCCTCCAGCGCTCATGGCCAACAGATGCAACCAGGGAAAGCAACCTGCTGGTGAGCGATGCTCATAGCATGTGCATGCTGATTTAATCCTCTCTGGGAAAAGATGGGAGGGGTGCAGGGCTCTACTTTTCTCAGTCAAAGGTGGAATTAATTAAACAAGCTTGATGGAGCACATTTCTGTTCAGGAAATGAAATTTTGTCACTTTAAAAAAAAAAAAAAAGTCTATTCAAGCTATGTGCCTGGGGAAAACATCTGCAGGTTGCCTACCATGACACGCTTTGCTTAGGTTTGTATACAAACTAGCATAGCAGACACATCTTAACTTGCAGTAAGAGATGTCAAACAGAAACCTAACCAGCATTTGCCAAGGCTGCACTATCAGCGAAATGGGGTTGACCTGTGTTCTGCTCCCAGCCACCAGCTGCCCACAGATCTGGTCTTTCTGCCTTACCAGGCCTAGACACACAATTTTGCTGAAGTCCTTCCTTTGTGGATGCTAAGTTTCAGGAATGCTTCTGACTAAGAGGGAATGTAGTGCTGTTGGTACCAGCTTGCTTAAACTGAACACAAAATTTAGGTCCTGCTCCTTCTGGAGCTTTCCCAGCAGTAGGGACCTACCCGTGCCCCAAGAGTTCATAAAGTTTTTTTTTCCATTATCCCCTCAACCCTCAACATGTCATTGAGATAGCAGATTATGGCTTGCCTTAAAAATAAATAAATAAATAATAATAATAAAAAAATCTCGTGAATGTACTTCCATGCAGCAGCATTTTCCAACACAAGGCAAAGCTGTTCTTACAGGAAGTCATAGAGCTCAGCTTTCAATTTCCCCAGGTAGTAACTCCCTCTTCTGGTGTTAGAAGATATCAAAGGAGCAAGTGACAAAAACCTTCGACTTTACAGGACAGATCGCTACCTACCCAACCTGCCAGCCCAGGCTGGAAGCCTTGTGATGAGCTCTCCCAATCTGGTTTGGGAATACTGCAGCTGCAGTCTTTCTACAGTGACATTTCCAAGCAGCGCATTTTGGTAACACTTGTTCAGAACACGCCTGATGCTTCCTCGTTGCCTCTTCTCTCCAATTCTTTGGCTTTCCAATGCCTCTAAGACTAAGTAATGTTCAGACAGGATCGACCTCACCTCATACACACATCCATGTACCTTCTGTGTGCTTCTAAATTGTATTTATGATAAGAACATGGATGCAAATAAAAAGGAAAATGAAGGAAAAAAAAAGGGTTGAAATAAAGTTTGGACCTGTAGGTTTGAAAGATAAAAGAAACCACCCCAAATAATACTTTCGTAATTTCTTTTTCTTTCAAGGGGGTGGGAAAAAGGTGCTTATATCAAACCAGCAAGTTACTCTGCTTCTCTCAGAGCTGCTGAGCAAACATCCCCATCCATTTTCTCCCCCTGCATGCCCATATCCAGATGTGGAGAGTGTTCTGCAGCAAAAGGGTTGGACCAGCAGTGATGGTGCTGCAGCTCGAGTCAGCAGCTCCTGAACAAAATTGAGCAAACCCTCAGGCACCTCCAGGATGGGCAGGGGTGCAGCCAGCACCACCGTGAGTAGCAGGGAGGAGCAGGGAGTGCCGTGCAGGATGCCCGCTCCAGATGAACCCTTGTTTATGCTCAGCTACACCCTACTACCCTGGGTACTCTCACTAAGTAAAAGTCAAGGAGAGAACTGTGCTTTTCTTTGTTTTTGAGTTATATTCTGGTTCCCACTGCTGTGGGTTCCTGAGGAACAAAACTGCTGGAATCATAAAAGAACAGTATATTGAGATGCAGAGAAAATTTTTTGTTTTGTTTTGTTTTTTGTTTTGTTTTTACCTTTCCATCTACTATTTAAGGATTGTGATGTCTCTCTTGCAAAGAAGGACAAGACCATTTTGCTTCCCATTTGCTTTTTTGTTTGTTTTTGTTTAAAGAGAATTCTGCCATGATTTAACATATATAATCCAGACTAAGAGAACTTCAAAGGTCTTGTTTCCTCTTGGAAAAAGCTTAGCTTGCAAATGCCTATATGGCCATATGTAACGTAACTCAAAAGGGGGAAATCCATACACACAGATTTTACTTAAACATACCTTTTCAGTGTAGGTCTTCCTCTCCCCTTAGTACCTGGATGCATGTAGTGTTTGTGATGGTCCGGGACTCTGCATCCTTCTTGATCTACTGGGAAAAAAAATTCTTCCTCTTCAGACCTGTCACAGGAATGTAAGTTCCAAGGAAACTTCTGGGTTGCTACTCTCAGTCTAGTGGAGGCATAGAGGGCTGAGACACTGCTGGATCTGATCCTTGCAGTGAGATGAGACTTGCATGGGAGCAGATGAGAATCCCCAGAGCAGGGATGCCAAAACTACTTCAAAGTTAAAGACAAGAGCAAGAAACTCCTCCTAAACCCAGCTCAGAACTTTGTTTCACAAACACCACAGATGGTAGGAGCTGAGGGCAGGAAAAATAGGAGGTGTCTTCACCTGCTGCAAGTGCCTAATACCAACCGCAAATCTCTAGACTTGTGAAGATGAAAGATTGGAAAGGAGTGGGGTTTGCAGACTGCCAGGATTTGGCTCTGTTTATAAAGCCTAATAACGCTGACCTCAGGAAGCAGTATGGTTTCAGGGCAAGTCAGATGTGCTCAATATTGGCATGATGTGATGACCTAGAGGAAGCAGGACACGGTTTAACAAACTTTCTGTCACTGCTGCATGGTTCGGATGGTCTGTCCTCTGCTGTGCAAAACTTTCTTGCCTATTTTACAGCTACTGGTGCCATCTAAGGGAATCCTTTTGACAACTCTACATATCCCCCCCCCCAGTCTGTAACATCTTTGATAGTCATTCCTCCTTCCCATGCCCATCAGCATAAGAACCAGCATTTGAAAACGACACAAACTACCAGATGTGTTGTTCCAGCCAAGCTGAACTTATGCAGGACCAGGCCAGGAGGGAGAAAGCGTGTATAAACTAGGCCTGTGTTTCTTTGGTCCTAGGAGGAGCTGCCACCAGTGCAGAGGCAGCACTGACAGCTGCAAGTCCCTGAGAGGTTGTGGCAGGCAAGCTGTGAGACCCCGTGAGAGTAAGCACAAACCCACCCCACAACCCAGAGCTGTTGCAGGCACTGCGATGCCAACCACTGCACCTGCCTGCTGGCTGCGTTGCTTAGCCAGGACGGCGGAGGTGAGCTGAGCTGACTCTAGGATCAAACTAAACTCCGTTTGTTGCTTCTGAACGTTTAACAGAACAGGTGAAATTCATCGTACTTATCTGAAGTAAGTGGAGTAAGCCAAGGAACTAATTCTATAAAGCAAAAATCGGTATTTTAGAAAATGTCTACTACTCCGTAAAGTATGTTCTCTGCTTAGCACCATTCAGAGGTAGTGCACACATGCAGCATTATTGAGAAAATGTAAACAAGATGATCTGAACATTGTTTTGCACGGTCAGGTCCATTTCTCAAAAAAAAAAAAAAAATCAGCATAGAACTGTGCACTTAATTGTCATGTTCAGTTACCAAGACTACACACATTTCGCTGGAGTTTCTTGATGTTTGTTTTTCTCAATTGTCTTTGACATCCAAACTTAATCTCCCTACTGGACTGATATTTGGCCTCAAGATCCAAGATTTCTTTAACCAACCAAGTTAAGTGCTTTTGTTAACACCCACAGTGCTGCAGAGAATTAAGATCTGCAACATTTTCCCAGCCCTCTTTCCATGCTGTATTTCTGAAAAAAAAAAAAAATATATTTGATTTTTGCCTTTGAAATGAACCTCCTAACGAATGTGGTGCTCACAGATCACTGTTCAAAAGCCGCTTCAGTACAGAATATGAAAGATGATTAAAAAAGTAAGGTTTATCCCCTTATTGAAGGGGCTAACATGGAGTTAGTCCCTAAATGGTAGAAAAATTAACAGAAAACAGAAACCTTCCACAATTGACAAGACACATCCCAAAATATTCATCTTTAATTGATGCATCGTTCATTCCTGCAGGGTTTTTGTTAAAGGAATTGTCCTGGGAATGCCACCAATAGCATTAAACGATACTTGTTTGTGTAACATCTGGTTTAGCCCTTTATTTATTTATATTTTACCTGAAAATGTGTTTTTGTAGAGACCACATAACAATATTTCCGCATTATCAGTTCATTTTGTTCTCCTCTTTCCTGGGTATATTAGCCAGGAAAAGAAATTCCCAGTCTGTAACAGACATGAATTCACACACTTTACTTTGTCCACATAGAAAAATGAAGTTTCTGGATCATTGAGGCAGTTGGATTATGAACAAGACACTCAAAAACTAACTATCCAGACGGGGATATACTTACAAAAATCTTTTATGTCAAAGTCAGGATTTCACAACATAACACGCTAATGCAAAATCCAGTAGCACCTGAAAGATTAAGGTAGCTGCTGCTATCACTTGCACATACTTGAAAAAGATTTAAAGAAAAAAAATAAAGAATAAAAGTACATTCTCCAGAGAACATCAAATGTATTTCAAAATAAAATGGTATTTTATGACTTTTCTTTAGTTTTTGTTAGGTGTTTCTGTTTTTATTTTTTTTCTGTAATTCTTTTTGCTTTTTTTTTTTTTTTTTTTTTTTTTACATGATGACTGTAGTTGCCATAAAACAAATTATATGCAATGTGACTGCTTGCCTCTCCCGTGCAAGTTCATGTTTTCATGCTACAGTACTCAACACTGTCTTCAGGTATATACATCCCCATAGTTTCATCAACGATAAATACAATTCTTAATACCTGCCTCTGGGAAAAGTAACATTTCAAACAGGCAAACTACTATCTTAGAACAGAATTTGAGAGGCTATAGTAGGTCTAACCACCCAAGTATGAACTTTAGGTTTCAGTTACTAAACACTCAACTACTGTAAATAAACATTAAAAATACTCTTAGCATTCAGATTTTATTTATATGTGCACGTATGTCCACCATATCCCCATATTTATGTTTGACAACTATTTAGGAATTCAAAGGTGCAGCCCTCAGTAATTGTAAAAAATGAAATGAAGCATATCTACTGAATGAGAAAAGAAATTCTCAAATATCAATTTCCAATTTAAAATTTAATTTCAATAGGAAAATATTAAAAATGTGCACATCTAAATTTTTCCATGTTCTTTATATACATATGTGTGTGTACGTATACATAGAAATACTCATGTACCACACATATTCACAAAATTTAAGTGGAAATATTTCTGTCCACTATTTTCTCACATGTAAATGACATCATATCTTTAAAAATGTCAATAATAATATCATTAAAAATAATATTACATTTATTCCATCATCAACTTTCTTTTGTTTTTAGTTTCTTCATCCTTATATGTCCATCGAGCATTAATGGGCCAGATTTTCCTTGCACTTCCACAAATGTTATGCCAACTGAATGTTGCTGACAGCACATCAGAGACACATCTGGTTTACAGCAGCACAAGTGACAGGAGAATCAGGGCCAAACATCACCAAGGCAAATTAAAACCTGGCGAAACTCGCTCATGTGGACCTGATGAAGATGTACACACCATTGCCTAAAATCCACCGAATGAAAAACATGTAGCTCACCACAAAGTTTTCAACCAGTAGCACGCTGAATCAAGCTCCCCCCACCCCATTAATAAATAAAATAGGTGAGAAAATACCCTAAAAATATGGATAAAACTTAAACATTGTGTACATTACATACAGTATAATACATGGTGGTTTAGCATTTGACCTAAACCATTTTCCTGACTAGTCAGGGGACACCTGATAAATCACTGGTAAAGAAAAAAAAAACAATATCTTAGAAATAAAGCATGTATTTCTAATATAAATGATAACTTGTGTGTATTATATGGTATATACATACAGTACACACATAAAACAAACTTTTCTAGTTTTCAATAGCAGTTTCTAAGTGGAGAACATTGTGTTGTACAAATTTAATAAGCAGCTAGATTTCTTGTTTAACATTCAAATAATTTGGGGAGCAAACAAAGGTCAGTGCATCTTTCGACTCTGAAGTCTGACACTCATTCGTACCTTTTAAAAAAGCCCTCTTCAAAGTTACAAGCAATTTATGGCAAGAATGTACTTTGATGCGAGACACAGGACACTTGGCTTACCTTTCAAAGAGTTGTGTGTGTGTTTTTTTTTAAAGAAATCTGTTATATAAAGAAATGTGTGTTTGCCAAAAGTCTGTTAAAATTACATCAGAACAACTTTAAAACCTGCTCACTGAGGATAATTGAATTCAATTATTTCCTGTTTTTAAACATTTAGCTAACAGTTCAGAATATTGCCTGGTGTCATTTCAATAAAGATGTGATATGAAGACCCATAAAAGAGTAAACATGTCTCCATTTCAATTTGTTATGACAACAAAACTTCTAGAAACAGCTTTCTTGGCAGGACAAGTTCAGTATATGAGTAATCCCTTGCAATAGCTCTATGCTCTTAATGCAGTCTATAATAAACAGTGCTCCCCATAAGCCATTATAACAAAACCTGACATTCATGTGACATTCTGAAAAAGTCTCCTGCAGAACAGGCTAACAGTTAATTCAACATACATATTTGATACACGCAGCAAGGCCAGAAAACAAATGACTGGCTTGCTATTTCTTGTTACCTGTGCATGTTAAATTTTACAATAAAAGTTCTCATTTCTTTTTTTTTCTTTCTTTCTTTTTTTTTTCTTTCTTTCTTTCCTTTTTTTTTCTTTTTTTTTTTTTTTTTTTCCTGGGGGACTCACCTGCCATCATTGGTTGGCTTCAAAATACAATTTAGTGGAAGATAGTATCTCACTGTAATTACATGAAATTCATGTGAAAAAGTAAACCTTACAAACCTTACATTGGACAATATTGTAGAACACTTGCATAAATTTCATAAACAAATACGTCTTTTATATAAGTAAATAAATTAAAAAAAAAAAAGGCAAAAACAAAAGCAACAAACAAACAAGCAAAAAAAACAACCACCAACTGACCAACCAACTGAAGTACCCCAAAAGGAAGAACTTTACACAAGCAGTTAGTAACTTCATTTCAATTAAAGATGCAACTCTCTCTCACCCCTGGCAAGAATAAATTGGTAATGGCACTGTTTCTACACAGTGCAAAGTATCCTGAGAAATTATTAAGAACAACAAAATACAGGGCTGTCATCACTAACTTCTTGCACAAAACACAGCAATTAAATATTTTAAATAAATAAAACAGCAAATAACCTATATTGTGTCTATCACAAAAAGGGGATGTGACCTGGGACACTGCTAATTCTTCCATCTCTGGATAATTAGAAAAGGATTGCATTCAATTACTGTTAATATCTTTCAAGTTATCTATGGCCAATAATGTACAAGGAGGTAATTTGTAATTCAAGTTTTTTGTTTTGTTCGTTGTTTCTTTTTCTTCAACTAGCTACAAGCTGAGTTCTAAATTTTACATTGAAATATGACTCAAATTTAAAACAAGCCCTCTCAGAGGAGCATTTTCTAATTTTGTGCAACTTTGATGCAGAGCCCAACACAGTCCTACAAAGAGAGACAGTGCATCTTTAAGCTGATTGGCACTGAAATCCCATTTTCTTTAGCTGCATTCTATCAGCTTGGCCAAGTTATCCCGTAACTCTGTTAGTTCAAATATTTTTCCATCAAGAATTTCTAAAAGTGTCTTCAAGTTATTGCGAAAAGCTTCTTGCTCATTCTGACTTTTCTCCAGACGTTGCTCTAGATCAGACAGCTGGCCTTCCAGGTCTTTGTTTCGAATTTCTACTTCCTTCAGAGAAAATACATAACATGTTAATGCGTTATCTACAAACAGAAAGCAGTTTAACGTCCTCCTGGCATTCATGCACTACTTTTGTTTTTAGAATAATTTGTGACCCCTTGAAGTTTTCAAAACCAGAGCCCAGATTATTATTTGGATTGAGAAAATATCCTTTCCTCCATTTTTTCAATAATTCATCTGAAGGACAGATTCGTTTGAACAGAGATAAAATTTACTCATTGCACAATGTATTTAGTCATCACTTCTGCCATTCAGAAATATGCCACCTAGTGAAAACAGCTTCTCAAAGGATTACTTAAGTTCAAAACTCCCCTTATTTAGACTACGTGGATTGCTCAAGGACATCAGTCCCCATCAGATGGACTCACACAGAAGCCCATCCAGATCACTGCTTTATGTACAGAGGAGTGCCACCTTAGTTCTGTCCCACGTTATACACCTTTTCACACTGAAAATTAGGACTGGAACAAAACCAAGCAAGACTGGTCAAGGTGAAACTACTTGTAGAATACTTAAAGCCTCAAGTACAGGCTGTGTCCCATCTGGCTGCCCTGTCGGCGAGGTCTGCACACAGTGGTCAGGCTGGGACCACCGTCAGTGCTTGGAGGAGAGCTCAGGGCCGCTCTGCTGCAGGGGCAGATAATAATTTCTTAATTTCAGCTATGAAAACGACTTTCGAAGGCAGCACTGGGACGGTGCACTTGGTACACCATTCACCCTAAGCAGCCATTTTCCAGAAAAGCGCATACTGAATTATTATTTATGTGCAGTGACATTTTTAAAATTCTGCCAGCCTTCACAGCAGGTTTGTGTCACACAGCTTCAATGGAGCTGCTCTCAGTTTTCAGACCAACTTGTTTCATGCAGCCACATCTCCTCAAAACCGGAGTGCCTCACCTACTGCTTGTTTGTAAAGGGGCAAGGTAAAAATGACAGATTTTTGGCCACTGGCCTCGAACAACAGAGCTGAGAGCAGGCATTACCCCTCGCCGCCAGGATCAAGAGAAAGATTATTTTAATCTGTTTCACACAGATAAAATAGTTGCCAAGGGATTAAAGGAAACTAGCTGAAAAGGGGAGCTTGTAGAAACTACGTAAATTGAAACAGGTGTGTGCTTAGGCAATGATCAGCTTCCTCACAGGTGTTAGGAGCAAACAAGCTAGGTGACTGTAACCCTGTCAGTACATGCTGCAGGCTGTCCCTCGCCAGGCCTACACCTGACCTCCACACCAAGCACTGGCACGTGCTACATGGCCTCAGGGCCACAGGGATTCGGACCCTCCACGGCAAAGTGACCTCGTGTGGCATGGAAAGGGGGCTCAGCGTCCCCTCAGCTCTGCTGGGTGGCACAGCCCTTTCGGTATTTCACACAGTACTGACTGTTCAAGCCCGCTCTTGGTTTCTGGAAAACGCTGCTTACCAAATTTTACTTGTGATCCTGACATCTTACCCTTGATTAGTTTTATATAGTAGTATTGAATTACAAGTTCATGTCTGGATCATGTGCAGCTTCCTATTACAGTCTGCCTCAGAACTGCTGCTTCTTAATGGAAGAAGGGGAGAGCTATCCACGTAACATAACCCATTCCCCTACTTGTGTCATTTCACTTTATTTGCAGTTAATCCCACAGGGCAATAAACCTACTCTTCTGATCCATTCAGGCCCTTTACATGGTTTATTGTACACTGTTTTTTCAAGCTCCTACAGCAGGAATAATCACTTCTCACAAATCATTTTCTTTTAGGAAATAAATAAATTATTAATAAGTAATTTTTGCTATTCGCACTGTAATAATCTCTTGTGGAAGTCAGATAAAAGATCAGAATTAGATATTCAAATCATACACAACAGCTGTATTTAGGGATCAGGTACGGTAATAAAGATATCCTGACTTGCGGTGAGAGTCACACTGATCATGACTGATTGAGATGTCTTAATTAATTAAACTATTAAGTAACAAGGGCCCTGATACTTACCCTTTGCAGTGATAACATACTGCTGTTCACTGAGATTTCTCAGTGATGGATTTCAAATTCATTCCCTGATATAAATGTCTCAGAAATGTGGCATACCTTGAAATAATAATTTCTTTGTATACTGTTTTTCATATAGGCGGCATTCCAAAATATTATAGAGTTACGTAATCCATTTGCGAACACAAGAGGATGAAAAATGAAGCGGAAGAGAAAAGTGTGTGATGAACAGATACAGACCCTAGAGACAATCACTCTGAAAACAGACAATGAGTCAATGAACAGAACAGACGTGGGATGGTCAGACCAGAGCTACGGAAGAAAACACCATTTCTCTGACATCACAGGTGCAGGGTGAAGTGGCTTGGAGAAGGCCACTGCTGTTGAAGCAGGATGAGTACTTCAGTACGCAAAGACTTAAGATCTTTTGTAAGAGCTGAATCAGGTCAGTAATAAGCTTTAACCTGAAGAACGGCAACTTTTATGTCAGATCCTAACCATTTTGAGAAAGTGATCACCTACAATGTGACATATGGACCTATGTACATAATACATCCATTTGGTTCCTAAGATAAATATATATTTCAAAAGGAAGCTACAATCTTTGTGAAGTACAATTATTAATAAAATGTTAGGAGTTACAGATTCTCAAAAATCTTTAGCCTTTTGCTAGTCTCTCATAACTCTGCTTGCTAGGGATAGCTATTTCTCAGCACATTATTACTTTTCATGTGATATTATGCTGATATTATTACATATGCCACTGCTAGAACAATTTCTTTCATTATAATCTCATTTTTAAGTCACTCATAAAAGTTCCTTTTCATCTGAAAACTCCCATGCTTAAAGTCAGCAACAATTTTTGGAATAGTGAAACAGGCAAGCTCAGGTGTACTCAAAACAATCTTCAAAGAAGCACTGTAATAACATAGTTTTTTTTTACAAATAATTTGACTTAAGAATGGGGGAGAATGAATACAGTAATTTTGTTCTAATGTGGTTTATTCTGTAGGTTAAAATGAGATTCAAGAAAGTTTCAATTCACATAACGCATTTCAAAGAATATCTGCTTGATGATCTTTTAGCTGTGGATAGCCTGGCAGAGCTCGTTTTTGCCATGATTTAGGTCAAGATGCAGAATAGTGCTGGTCACATTTCAGCACTTTAGATTTGGAGCTATTTAATGCCTCAGTTTCCAGCTGTATCAAAACTCTGATGTCTGAATTCAAAGTTTAAACCCATCTCAGCTCTGGGTCAGCCTCAGTCAGAAAGCTGATTCTTACTAAGGGGGGCATGTCCATGCTGGCTGGTCAGCCCAGCAACAGAAGGACAAGAGCTCAGACATAGCACTCCTTCCTGAGGTATCTGCCTATACACACAGTGAAGGATCAACCCAGGAAAAAGAAGAAAAACAAAAAACAAAACACAACAAAACAAAGCAATACAAACAAAAAAAAAAATTCTAAATAATTATATATAATCCCCAAAATAAAATGTCCAATTCTGTTTTTAAAGTCTGTATTCTGCAAGAACACTTTAACCTTTATCAGAGAATGCTTAGAAGATGAATATAGACTCATCCCAACATGATGCCTATCAACAAGCCTGATAGTTCAGTGGCACACAAGACCTATGACAAGACATTGCTGTGAAAATGAGACCAGAACTGCCCACGACATGTATTGATGGAGGACGTCTGCTTGCCTCAGAGCTGGGTGGAGTTCGGTAGCATTATAAATGAAATTTGGTTCTGTTCCCTAAGTGAAAAAAATAATGACTTACCCCAGGTAGAAATTGTGGTACAAATTCCCCAGGAGCATCCTGACCCACCACTTTACTACTTACGTATTTACCCAGAAGCTTCGATCAATACAGCAGAAGTTGCTGATGTAAACTGCTCACTTGAAGATCATTTTGCCCTTCTGCCTAAATTAAGATGATGTACTATAGCTCACCTGTAACTTCTGGGTCAAAGAATCCCTCTGTGCCTGGAGCTCTCTGGCGTTGTCAATTTCTTGTTTCAATCTTTCTATTTCCTGAAGGAGAAGAAACAACTTTTTTAGCAACACATTATTTGGATTGGCTTCAGTATAGGTAAGCTGGCTGCTTCTTCTTCTCCATAGCAATGATACCAAAACTGGCAACTGGCTACTGCCTATCTTAGCACATGAAGTTTAAGCTCTGCTCCCAATACTCCTGAATCACAGTCCCCAAAAGACAATCCCATTGTGAATAAACAATAAAGATAAGGATTTTCTTTGTCATGCAAGTCTAAGCCTCCTTTCCATACAAAAGACTTGATTTTTTTTTTCTTGGAATATTAAGGGTCCTTGTAATTTGAGAAACAATTTTGTTTTTTATGTTCTGTTATAATCTATCCTCCCCCATTTTTTCATGAGAAAAATCCAATTTTCATCTGTTCGCTGCTTATTATGTCACTAGCAGCAGGGCTGAGCATCAAAAAGTTGCCAGCCTTAAGCATTGATTTCTATAAAAAACTTAAAGCTAACAAATATTTCTCCCTACAGGGGCATATTTACCTTCCAGAATACCTCTTGGAAAGGTATCTCTGTGTTCAGCAACTCAGCATAATTTGAAAGAGCAAGGGCACCAAAATGGGAATCATTACCAACCTAAGGCTAATCTCGTGTCTGAGGGAGCCTGAAGAAGGCTTTCCTCCATTTTGGGAGGATGTTCTGTTTGCTCCTAGGAGCTCTTCTCCTGCATCCTTCTCAGAAACAGCTAACAACGACACAGCTGGAGACCCTGTGGGACACACTGGCCCTCCAAATGTACATACCAGTGCATGCTTTGTCTGTGCCCATGTAGGGCTCAAGGGATCTGGTCTTAAACAGGGCAAGCAAACCATCATACACGGCCCCCTCCACCTCCTTCTTCCCATCCATAAAGGGGCAATCCCCAGTCATTCTGTGGCACAAATCTGTTTTCCTCTAGGACCCCTGCCAGTGCAGGTGTTACTCCAATTCTTTGTATTTTCCTGTTGCTGACTGAGCCCAAGGCAGATGGCACAATAAATATCATCCAAGTTACAGGCTGGGGGTTTGGCACGCTTTGAAGGAGAGGGCTTATCTTAGGGATCATAAAAGTCAGCTATATTAACATAGACTGAAAAACAGATTGGCCTGAAAAAAGGCATTGATATATTTCTTGCTCCAAACCTCTCTCTCCAGAAAAAGGAAAGCATGCTTATGACTGCTTCCCTTCTTAGTCAGTGTGGACAGCATTAGTGTGGTGATTGCTCTAAAGAAACCACATGTGCCTCAATGCAGACCGACTTTTGCAAAGAGTAAAAGCAAAGACAAAAAAATTATATTTTTTGTTCTTCAGATACCTTGCTTTATACTGGACAGATGTAGAAGGAAAAATATTAATCATTTCAAATAATCTGAAAAATTAAAAGGAAATACCACAACATTTGCTAGCCATTGCAAGATTAATATTGAATGCCTTAAGAATAGATGTAACAAAAAAGCCAAAACAAACATTAGCAAATACCTCTTCTTTTTTCTTCAGCGTAGATTCTAATTCCTGTATTGTCTGGTTTAATTCTGTTTTATGTGTGTGGACTGCATTGGCTTGACTGCTCACACACTCTAGCTCAGTCACCTGTTGAAATAAGTGGTGGCAACACACAGAGAATTAATTGCAACAATTTCAAGGTACCAGTATTTCTTAGAATAAATAGCTGAATTTGAAATATACCCTTAGTTCTGGGTGACTTGTTGATTAAAATGGTGAAGCTGTTCTTATGAAGTCTGCATACAATTCCTTAACAAGTTGTTTTGCAGCAAATGGCTGCTGTGACTTCTAATGTTTACTGTAATAACTTGGGAACAATAAATTTAATATATTGCAGGCTGAAAAGAACATTAATTAAAAGTTATACTTACTAATTATTGAAAATTTTACAGAAGAAGCTGAATTACCATTTCAGAAACAGTAACATCTAGATGATTAAACACAGATCTAAGTAACCTCTCCATCTGACATTTTTTAATGTTGCACCATCTTAATCAACTAAGCCACAATGCTCACCCCTTTCCTAGCACACCAATTAACATTTCACAGCCTCAATTTCTGACTCTGCATCAGAAGATACTCAGCTACCAATGTACAGCTGCCAGCTTCTTACTTCCTGTATTCTCAAGACTTCGTCTCCCAGTCACAAAACTAACAACTAATGGCACAATTTGGATTTGTACAGTTCCTCTTTATTAGCAGGCAGCAAACATTCTCCATCTGCCCTTGGATAAGATAAGATACCTGGCAATAGTATGCCCTTTTCATTTTATTTTTTTAATTGATGAGATGTTAATATCCTAACATTCACAGAAAAATGGTTGTCAAAAATGGCTTATGCATTAAAGAAATAAAATTTCATGCAGCTACAGTCTACACAGAGAGACTTTGTTCATGTACCTCTCAAATTACAGCACAGTTTCAGAGAACTGTCACACTGCACGTCTGCATGGATTTCTGCACTAAAACCTTTTTGTTTAAGAACAAACTGTAAAAAAAATACAATTTAAAAACCAATAACTTTTTTTTTTCCCAGACTGTCTGTCAATCTTAGTATACAGTGTTTGACAGAGCTGCAACATCTACCTACAGAACAAATCTGCTCCAAAAACTAGTTTGAACATAGCATGTTTCTGTGCTACCCAGTTTGTCAAGGAAAACCTCTAATTAAACCTCTCAAATTAAATTCCTTAGAGAAGTAGCCCCTAAAGAGAGGGCATGTATTCTCCAGGACATTTTTCTTTCTCAGATGAAAATCTTGAGGAATCAAGGGTGGTGCCTTCCACCACCAATATAGTCTAGCCAGAGAAGCCACTGTGATGCCAGTAATTTAAGACTCTGAATGGTTTGTAGGCTTAAAAAGTAGATTACTGAATGCAGGGAGAAGTTGAGGGAAAGCCAAGATTGAAATACAAGAAAATTAAAACAAAATCCCTCTCAGCTTTTCTTTCTGAGTCACAGGGCATGAAATTCCCTTGTGTTCCCCTGTGGCCTGAACAGCGATGAGTAGTCTCGTTTCTCCTCCTGGAAAGCTGTCATTTGACATTTTTGCACACCAGGTTAATAAATGTAGAGACACAAAAATTACAGCAATTCTTTGGAGGGAAAAGGGGAATGAGGGAAGAGAAGGTAGCTTGACAGGACCCCCCAAGAACTATCTTATTTACTGGAATTGCCCCAGAAGAAACATCTGTGCTCATGGCGCAAAGTAACAGCAGTTTGTTCAGTTTTATACGTCACTGAGCATTTTGACTGCAGTCTTAGACCTTTTCCTCAATTTGCCAAAACTGCACAAAAATATATCTATTTAGATTTACTTTTTTTTGGGGGGGGGTAACATTTGTTACAAGCTAACAATTGTTACTATTATGGTATTCAGCACAATAACTACACAGACACAACCAACCAGAATTGCAACGCACCAGCTGGGATAAAGCTATGTCTAAACAGTGCCTGAACTAACATGTTGTTCGACATTACACTGTGTAAACACATCAAGAATCACCAACTCGCAGAATAATTTAGGCTGGAAAGGGAGCTTGGTGCTCATTTGGTCCAGGCCCCTCATTCAAAACCAGGGCAATTTAAGTTGTATTTCATTGCTCAGGGTCTTGTCCAGCCAGGAACCATTCACCATTTAGTAGCGTCACCACAATTTTATCCACATCAACCATCTTCACCCCTTCTGAAGTTCAACCTAGTAAACATTTCCAAACTTTTCTGCTGAACAAAGTCTTGAATTAGACGCAGAAGCTTCTGTGAACCCAGGGGTAGTGTTGATTTAGAAACCCACATTCAGACACTTTTCCACCCATTTTGTAAGTCTGGAACTTTATACGATAACCTCCAAGAAGGTCAATCTCTCTCTTAAAGCTGTTACGCCCACTGGCTCTTACCAAGTACTGGTGCAGTGAATACTCATTTACACCGAGTGGTACAGCCTCAATAGGAAAGACGGGAAAAATCAGTCCCCAAAACACCTTTCTCCTGGTGCTGTAGAAGCAAGGGGGCAGAGGTGTCTCTCCCTGTGACGTAGGAAGAGCTTGAACCCTACTGTTTTCCATGGGGTTTCCTCTGGGCAGGCACACAGGGTGAGGATGCATGCATACTGTTAGTGCAAGCTTGGAGTCTGAGGGGCTGGTGGATTGAGCTGGGGTGGGTGAAATACCTTGCTCTTGGCTGCAGGTATTGCTACCAGCCAAAAATGCCTCCTGTGAGAGACCCACTGGCTGCATGGCTCGCATGAACACTCCTCAGTGTGCTCTGGACATACTAACTTGAGACACCTATTGAAATTGCTTAAGCAAACACAGTTGATTTTGCTTGAGCAGGGTAGAGTTTGCTCCACAAACTTTCTTGCCAACAGTCAACTGCTCTCAGAAGGGGCTGTGATACCTTGCTCTGGTCCAGCTTTCCTGTAGGCAAACACCCATTTTTTACTGCTTGTGCAAGAAAATAATGCATGGTTCGATTTTTTTTTTCTTTTTTTTTTTTTTTTTTTTTTTTTTTTACTGCTGAAAGCCCAGTAACTTGGGAAAAAATTTTCAACTTGAAAACATGTTTACTTTAATAATAATCTTATTTAAATGCCCATTCCTATACAGATCTGAAAAGATGTCAAATACGCTCTCTTTCTGAATGCACCTTTAAAAAAGAAAATCATATTATGAACCTTTCAAAAAATCTGTAGAGTAAGATGGAAAATGATGCGATATAAAGCATACGTAATTGAAAACAGAAGTAACAAAAGATAAAGCTCTAGGCAAAAAAACATGGATAACATTTACTTGCTCTATTTCCTTGTTTCAAATTGAATTTATTTTTCTAATGACCATTGGTCCAAAAAACATCAAAAATAACTGTTTATGCGTTATGCACAGAAGGGGGCATAACAGGAAGCTAAAATGCTTTAGTCTGACCCTCCCACATGCTATTTTCAGGGACATCTCCTCATTTATTTTTTCACATTTAAGGGCAAGACTCAAGCAATCATTCAAGTCTTTGCACAGCAACACTAAATAATGAATCTCTGATTAAAACTTGTTTCCAGTACAGAATTCTGACTGTATTCTGACTTCTGACAAAGACTGAAAAAACAGTCTTTGAACAATAACTGACCAAACAAGGTTCTTCATCATAAGACTGCACTGACTTGCAAATCTGGAAAGTCTGTACTGTGGCTTCGTATTTGAGACTTAAAGGAATATTATTCTTAGCCCCTGCTTCTGTATTTTACTTTTGTCATCCAGGTAAGGATTGCTTGTAGAGAAAGAAATTCTGAAAGGGCTTTTTAGTGACTATTTAATGGGCTATTTTTTCTCTCATATGGACATTATTGTACTTAAATGCATACTTTAGTGAGAAATACATCAGTAGAAATCAGACAGAAAGGCAACTTGTTCTGACAGAGCCTAAGCCTTCTCAGCAGAAGCCATTGAAGAGTTTTCTGGAAATTCTGATCTAAGGTCAATAGCCTATAAATAGAGGAGAATGCCAGGCAGAAGTTTTCATCATACTGTGCAGCTGTTGCCAAGACAGGAGGAGTGAGGCCACATAACAGAAGGGGCAACAGATTTTATATAAGCTTAAGACAGTAATTGCACAGAGCTTCTCCAAGAAAACAAACCAAATCAAAGCATGAAGAAAACAAATCTAGAGATTGTATCAAATCCTAACAAAGACAACTGCTTCATGAGTGAAGACTTCGGTTAGACTGAAGCAAAGAAGTGGGAATGACAGAAATATTTCAAGTGGTCGCCCTCCCAGAGCAAGTACTGACAGACTGAATCTGAGCTACATTTGCTCGAAGCTGATTAATTTTTTTAATACCACTTTCCTGAGACAGATTTGTATACTTCTAATCTCAATCAACAAACTGGTTTTTTTTTATTATCTTAAGAGTCAGTACCTACAAGTCATGAACTTCTTTCATACAGAAATTTCATACAGAAATTACTTTAGCTATTACAAAAATGCTGAGAATTATGGGTTAAAGTACATTTTTGGTGTTGCTTTAGTCTATTTTATAGATACACCTGACTATCTTAACTTGTTGTTTCCTAAAGGTATTCCACATATTTATTGTGGAACACAGTATTCAGGGTCTACTAACCCAGGCCACAGTGTAGAACAGAGAGAGTACTCATGCAAGACAGAATTTAAGTATTATTTATGTATTTTTAGCTGGTGCAGTTATCTTGCTTAATGGATCACAACTGTGATTGTGATATTATTCCATCAATAACTGAAGATGAACGTCCTTCAAATTAAAAAGAGCCCTTTGCTTTCCACAGTAAGTAGAAAAATGATACTGTGTAGCTCAGCAAAACAAGGAATAACTGCATAAAATTTCACATAACTTTTGCAGAAGACACTTCTCAGTTCTTCATGGTAGACAGTAAGATGGAAGACAGCATGCAAACAAGACAACCATAAGAAACAATCTAGTATGGCTTTCAAGAATAAAAAGTCTGAGAAAAAATTTGGTTCTAATAAATGTGAAAACGCAGAGAACAAGGAAAATTGCTTTCCTATGTTGCTGCTGAAAAAACAAAAAGTGCACTATCATATTATCACTTCTGACAGCA